AGTGAGCCACGGGCTGGCCCATTTTTATTCCATTTTAATGAATTTAAATTTAAATAGCCACTGGTGGCTCGTGGCCACATTATTGAACAGTACAGTCTTAATTAACAGCTTCAATCTGCCTTTTTTGTTTCTAAATCAGTAGGTTTCAAACTCTGGTGTTCATCAGAATTACTTGTGGGGCTTATTAAAACACAAATTGCTGGGTGCCACCTCCATACATTTTAATTAGGTAGACTGCGGAAGAGCCTAAGAATTTGCATTTGTAGCAAGTTTCCAGATGATGCTGGTTCAGGGACCACAATTGGAGACCACTGTTATTGAGAATCTAGAACCATGTTCTTTAAACTCTGGGTTATAACTCATCAATGAATTGTGATCAGCATTTAAAAATTAGACTATATCGGCCAGCCACTGAAACCAAAACCAAAAAATTAAATAAAAATTAGACTAGACTATAGATGTAAATAAACTAGACCAAAATAGTATAAAATGTATTGTGAATGTATCACTCTTATAAAGGATATTGTTTTGTGAAACTTTTGCTTCTGTTTCAGTTGTATGTGTATTTATGCATGTCTGTACTGGATTAGGATCTAAAATAAGAATCCTGGTCAGCAGGGTCCAAGGTCCAAGAAACACTTAGCTGGAAGTTTCATTTGACCTTTGGTGCTGAAAAAGACAAAAAAGGTTTCTATGTTGTAGTGTTACCAGTAAGAGGGGAAACCTTCCACTCCCACCCCAATTGCTGTCTCCAGTCTAGGCAGGGTTCTTGGCCTGGCTTGTCTTTGTTGCTTTCAGGGGTCAGATTCTCTCCCAGAGGACAGCACATGTGTTTTGAAATAGTAGTCCTCTTATGAACCCTTCCTAGCCAGCAGTGTTACAAATTGTTTTTTCTCCAGCCATGCTTGAAATAGGGAATATCTCTTTTAAAATGACAAAATATGTAAAGTATTTTGACAGATTTCATGCTTGATTGGGTCTTGGTATCCTCTGTGGCAGACAGCATCTCCCAACCCTCTGGATACCATGTAGCACTAGAGCTGCTTACCCAGCTCTCTTTTCCAGTGTGGAGATCTCTTTCCTCACTTGATTTCTTCATTGCTTCCTCTTCCTGTGACTTCTCCACCCCATTCCAGTTTTTCTTTTTCCATTTGCCTCCATCAGCAGCTTCTGCTGTCTCACTGTTTTTGTCATCCTTATGGCATTGCTTGTCTTCTCCACTTCCAGTGTTTTTATTTTCCCTTTGGGGCACCAATGGGTGACTGTGTCTCCAAAAATACATGTTTCCTATGCAAACTGGTAGTGCTTCATGCTTTCCCCTTCTAGCATAGATAATAAGGGACTCATGTTTTCTTTTTATCGTGCTAGGTGGTAAAACCAAAACTAAGAATGAGGAAAGAACTCCAAACCTGAACATTTCTGAAGAATCAGAGTCTCACAGACTAATAGTGGAGAGGTTGCTGATGGACATTCCCCAGCACCCTCACTTCAAGGACAGTTTAGAGAAATTGCAACTGTATGAGACAGGGAAGAAAACAAACTCAAAGAAAGCAGATTGCACAGATTTGACAGTCCAGGATAATAAATGCTCCACCAAGGAAAAAGAGGAGATAGCCAGGAAATTGGAAGGAAGCAGTAGTGTCAATACACATCTCATTACAAAGGAGGGCCTTCCTAAAGAACAGTTGTTTTATAAATGTGGTGAATGTGGCAGTTATTTCAACCCACATTCAGATCTTCACCAGCATCAGAGAACTCACACTGATGAGAAGCCCTACAAATGCAAAGAATGTGGAAAAGCCTTCAGATATAACTCAAAACTGTCACGGCACCAGAAAATCCACACTGGGGAGAAACCGTACTCATGTAAGGAATGTGGACAAGCCTTCAGTCAAAATTCCCATCTTCTTCAGCATCAGAAACTCCATGGTGGAGAGAGGCCCTATGAATGTACAGACTGTGGGAAAACCTTCAGCTACAACTCAAAACTGATTCGCCATCAGAGAATCCACACTGGGGAGAAGCCCTTTAAATGTAAGGAATGTGGGAAGGCGTTCAGGTGTAGCTATGATTGCATTATCCATGAGCGAATTCACACTGGGGAGAAACCCTTTGAATGTAAGGAGTGTGGGAAAAGTTATAGCTCCAATTCAGTCCTGATTCAGCATCAGCGAATCCACACTGGGGAGAAACCTTATGAATGTAAAGAGTGTGGCAAGGCCTTCCATCGTAGTTCAGTATTTCTTCAGCACCGGAGGTTCCACACTGGGGAAAAACTCTACAAATGTGATGAATGTTGGAAAACTTTCAGTTGTAGCTCCCGCTTCATAGTGCATCAGAGAATCCACACTGGAGAGAAACCTTATGAGTGCCAGGAGTGTGGGAAGATGTTCAATCAGAAGATCACCCTGATTCAGCATCAGCGAGTTCACACAGGAGAGAAACCTTACACATGTAAGGAGTGTGGGAAAGCCTTTAAATGGAGTGCAAGTTTCATTCAGCATCAGAGGTTGCATACCAAGAAGAAACCAGTCCAAGTAACAGGGCCATCCACAGTAAAGCCCCACTGCCCCTCAGCAGTCCTCTCCTCTCTGCTTCCCCAGCATGTGTGCTCTGCCCCAGCCCCACCAGGACCTCCCCTGTCTTCTCCACATGCAGTGCTACTTCCTCCTTCTCTGCCTCTCTTCCTTCTATTCCCTTCATCTGAAATGGCCAGCTCTTCACCTGTCCAAATAGTGCATTTTTTTCAGGATCTTACTTCTCTTGGGAAGTCATCCCCTTGTAGCCTGAATCCTTTGTCTCACTCCCCATGAGCCCCATCATGTTCTCAATTCCCATTGCTTCTTGAATTATTAGGGTTTCCACTGGACTCCTCATTATGTCTTTATTGATATTCTTCTCCCCTTGTGTAAGTTATTACTGTTTTCCCACCTCCCTTTTAAGTTCTCACACTTAAGGACCATGTTTGATTACTCTCTTTTATCTTCTGGGTAAGAAATGGAAGTATTTGTTCTTTATAGTGTCCAGTTTTAGCCTATACCTTCAGTCTGCATCTGCTTTCTGTGACTATTGGAGTTGGAAGAGGTTGCAGAACATTTTGTGTTTTAGGGGATATGGCATTATGATGAGATGGGCCATTGTAATTAGAGATAAAGGAGAAGTGAAAAGCCCATGGGAGGAGATAATCAGAAAAAGTATCCAATGATTGCTTTCAGGATTTAAGGAGGGCCATTTGGCAGGTCAGTGGCAAGGCTCACTGTGGGGAGAATCTTAGCCTTGGAATTTTTTATTACCTTGATAGTGAACATTACAAGAGTCTTGTGTAAGTATGCAATCAACCAAATATTCAGTGAAAAGATTATGAAGTGATGAGTAGGCATTGACAGCAATAATGTAAAATTATGTCTTTAAACTTGATTGGAAGGGGATGTAGTTTTCTGTTTGGGTTTGTTTGTTTGTTTTTTGTTTTTTCTATTCCTATACATATTTTTGCTTAATTTCAATACCCACTTAAATATGAAGGTGCAAAAAGTGACTTGGGCTTGTGAAGTTTAGGGTAGGTGCCTAAGTGTAGTAATGTCTAAAATTATATACAGAGTGAACTTAGTGGTATCGCACTGGTAAACATCAGAGGCGAGGAAAAGAGAACCCAAACCATAACTTGCTGTAGCTCTTGCTTCAGAAGTGAGTCCATTCCTGATGAGTTACTATACAGATACTTGGACGTGTTCTCTTACCTACTCTGGATTCTCCAGTGATTTAAGTCTAAATTTGTGATTGGTAGTACTTTTAAGTAAATTTTATATTTAACTACTGTATTAGTCCATTTTTGTGTTGTTATAACACAATACCTGAGACTGGGTAATTTATAAAGAACAGAGGTTTATTTGCTTATGATTCTGGGACAGCTGGATCTGGTGCAGGCCTCAGTCTGCTTCTACTCATAGCAGAAGCTGGCAGACAGCCAGGGGGTACAAGCAGATCTCATGTTGAGAGGAAGCAAGAGAGAGAGGGAGGTGCCAGGGTCTTTTAAACAACCAGCTCTAATGGGAACTAATAGCATGAGAACTCACTCACTACCCTCACACCTCAGAGAGAACATTAATCCATTCATGAGGGGTCTGCCCCCATGACTTAAGCAGCTCCCAACACTGCTACATTGGGGATCAAATTTCCACACGAGTTCTGGGAGAACAGTACATCCAAACTCTGTCAACTACTTTGGTAACACCAAGAAGTGTTTTAAGCATATTGATTGTTGTAGTTTGAATGTCCCCACAAAGCTCATGTTGAAACTTAATCCCCATTGTGACAGCATTAAGAGGTCAGGCCTTTAAGAAGTGATTAGGATTAGATAAGGTCATCAGGTTGGGGCCCCAGGATGAGACTGATGGCTTTCTAGAAGAGGAAGAGAGACCTGAGTTGAGGTGCATGCTTGCTGTGTCTCATCATGTGATGCCTCCTGCCATATCTTGGCACAGAAAGGAGCCCTGCATTAAATATTGGAACCTTGATATTGGAATTCCCAGCCTCCAGAACTGTGAACTAAATAAACTTCTGTTGTTTATAAATTGTCTATTCTGCGGTATTCATTTATAGCAATAGAAAACAGACTAAGAATGAAAGTTGGTACTGAGAAGTGGGTTGTTGCTATAATAGATACCTGAAAATATGGAAGTGGCATTGGAACTAACTGGGTAATGGGTAAAGGCTGGAAGGTTTTGGAGGAACAGGCTAGAAAAAGCCTGAATTGCCATGAATAGAGTGTTAAGGGTGGCTACTTTTAGCTGCTTACAGTAAAGTAAGAGAGGAAAGAGATGATTTAAAGATAAAATTTATGATTAAATTGGAAACAAGAGTGGAAAAATTTGGAAAATTTGCAGCCTAGCCATATGGTAGAGAATGAGAAAGCATTTTCAGCAGAGGAAAATCAAGAGTGTGACCAAGTAACCAGTGGGTAAGGAGATTAGTATGGATAGAATGAAGCCAGAGGCTTTTTATCAGGACAATGGGAGAAAAACCCTGAAGGCATTGTAGAGAGTTTGAAGCTGCCCCTCCCATCATAGGCCCAGAACTCTAGGTGGGCAGAACAGTTCAGGGGACAGTATCAGTGCACTATCCATGGACTTGCTGGCCTGCATAGCCATGGATCTCTTCTCTCCTCATTCTGGCACAGTGCTCCTTGGCTACCTAGTTGTAGCTCAAATGACCCCAGGTGCAGCTCAATCTACCTCTTTGGAAAATACAAGCTGTAAACCTTGGCAGCATCCATGTGGTGCTAATTCTTCAGGGGCACAGAATGCAGGGGCTATGCAGGCATGGCTTCCTCCATCTAGACTTCAAAAGATGTATCAAACAGCCTGGGGGTCCAGAGAGACTTGTTGCAGGGGTAGGGCCTCCACAGAGAGCCTACTAGGGCAATGCTGAAGGGAAATGTAGGGTCAGAGCTGCCATAGATTGTCCCTAGGTAACGCCTAGTGGACCCACAGGGGCAGGACTGCCACTGAGCCCCTAGAATTGGAGTGATAACAGCATGCAATGCCAGTCTAATGCCAGAGCTGTTGTCATGAGACTCCAACCTGAGACAGCTGAAGCATGGGTTGAGCCCAGCAAAGCCATAGGGGTGGGGCTGCCTGAGGCTTTGGGTGACCAACTCCCCCAGTTGTATTCAGGAGGTGGCCCATGGAGTGAGGATTATTTGGAAGCTATGAGGTTTAATGTTTTTCCTGTTGAGTTTTGGACGAACTTGGCACCATTTACCCTTTTTCTGTGCCTCTTTCCTCCTTTTGTAGTGGGAATGTCTATCCTATGCCTGTTTTACCATTGTATTTTGGAAGTAGACAACTTGATTTGATTTCACAGTCTCACAGCTGGAGAGAATTTGCCTTGGGATGAATCATTCCTTGAGTCTCATCCTTATCTAATTCAGATGACAGTCAGGACTTTGGACTTTTGAGTTAATGCTGAAATGAGTTAAGACTTCGGGGGTCTTTGGAATGGAATGAATGTATTTTGTATGCGAGAAGGACATGAGTTTTGGGGCACCAGCGATGGAATGCTATGGTTTGGATACCCCCATCAAAACTCATGTTGAAATTTAATCCCCACTGTAGCAGTATTAAGCGGTGGGGGCTTTAAGTGGTGATTAGGATTAGATAAAGTCATCAGAACAGGGCCTCCATGATGAGACTAGTGGCTTTATAAGAAGAGGAAAAGAGATCTGAGCTGACATACACCCGTTTTCCTTCTCTCCATGTGATGCTTTCTCCATGTTATGACACAACAAAAAGGCCCTCACTAGAGGCAGCCCCTCCACACTGGACTTCCCAGCCTTTAGAACCATGAGCTAAATTAAACTTTATAAATTACCCAGTCTGTGGTATTCTGTTATAGCAACAGGAATGAACTAAGACACTGGTCTTACCAGATGTTATGCTCTCACCTGTTTGGCTGTATTTTCTATGTAGTGCCTAGAGGCCCTGACCCTTGTCAGAATCACTGCTTTAGGACAGTAACAACATGAAAATGTACTTTAAAAAATTAACTGTTAATATAGTACTAAGGAAATAATATGTACAGTGTTAGGTTAACAGCATAAAATTATGTCTGCAAGAGTGGGCATTGAGAGACACTGGTTTTGATTTTGGTCAGGTTTGTTGATACATACTTTAAATATGATAAATTTCATCCTTTTAAAATGTACAGTTTGATGAGTTTTATTATATGAGTTTGATGAGTTTTATTATATGAGTACAGTTGTGTAAACAAGATACAGAAAATTTCCATCACCCCCTAAAAGTTTCCTTGGTATAAGGAGAAATGTAAATGGTTGGTGAGATGTTGGGGATTTTTTTAAAAAAATTTATTCCTCAATAAGATTTGTACAATACCTAGGATTTAGGAGAAGAAAAAGCAAAAACCAAATTTATTTTTCCAGCTACAGTCAGAGCTTCCAGATTATGCAGAGCCCAGAATCACTGCTAAGTAAAACAGTAAAAATGTAGGAATGTGACAATGACTGGTTTGTTTGCCATATTTCAGACATGTATGCATACACATTTTTTTTGTCCTATTTACTTCTTCAAAACACCATTAAACAGAAAGGGCCTCAGGATTTCTGGGAGAAGTATAGCAAGAAAGGGTAGGAATGAGAGACTCCTCAACTAGCCAGTCTGCAGGAAAAAAGTAACTTCTAAGTAACATTTAGAGGATAGCAGATTATAAGATGAGAAAAAAGAAAGGAGTGTATGGAAAAATAAAAGGAGATCTGCAGGAATGAGAGACTCCTCAACTAGCCAGTCTGCAGGAAAAAAGTAACTTCTAAGTAACATTTGGAGGATAGCAGATTATAAGATGAGAAAAAAGAAAGGAGTGTACGGAAAAATAAAAGGAGATCTGCTCCAGACCTCATGGCCAAGAGATTTATGGGTTTCTTTTTTTTTTTCCTTTTTGTCTTTTTCTGTGTCCGGCAACGGATCGCAACCCTCACTGTCGCCCCCGTACCGGACCGGGACCGGCAACGGGATCGCAACCCTTGGTGTTGCTGCCGCTCCTCGCTCAGCCAGTGAGCGGGAACCGGTCTGTATGTGGGATCCGAACCCTCGGCGGGAGCGCCACCACGCTCCCAAGCGGCGCACTGTAGCAGTGCGCCACCGGGCCGGCCCGAGATTTATGGGTTTCTGACCAGTGACTTCTATTTTCTCATTTGTCCTTCTTTCATTCAATAGGCATTTAGAGGTTTTTTCCCCATTGTTACACAATGTTATTACCCAACCCCCACAGCACTTATACTAGGTGCCGAGAGTAGACAGATGAATAATGTGCCATTCTTTTTAAAAAAGGGGATGGTGTTACCATGTTGTCTGGCATTTAATAGATATTCAGGTGTTTTCTGAAAAGGGCTGTGGGTAGTTTATGGTGGAAACAGATGTGTAAAAATAAACTGATACATCACTTAAATTCCAACAAAGTGTTCTACCAAGGAGTTTCTATTTTCACTGAAAGTGAAATGGTTATATTCAAACATACTAACTTTTCCCCCTGTGATATTGTGATACAATAAAAAACATATATTTGATCCTCATCCCCAGTTCCTGGCACAGAGCTCTTAAAACCCTTGTAATTTCCTGAGTGACAGGAGTGATAGGAGCATCTTTTTTTATACTCCTGTTTGGTCTTAATCCCCAGTTCCTGACACAAGAGTTTCTAAGACCCTTGAAATCCCTGGAGTGATAAGTGTCTTTTTATATGGTAATGAGATGACTGGTGGCTGAGATCCCCTAGATAGCTTAAGGATGGGGTCTGGCTGCCAGAAAGACCAAGTCATGATTAGAGGCTTTGGACTTTTAACTCCAGCCCCCAAAATCTGTTAAGGGGAGAGTGGCTGGAGATTGAGTTAATCACCAGTGGCCAATGATGTAATCACTCATGCCTATGTAATGAATCCTCCATGAAAACCCTAAACAAGGGAGTTCAGAGAGCTTCCATGTTTGTAAACACACTGAGGTGCTGGGAGGGTGATGCACCTAGAGAAGGCATGAAAGGTTTGGGCCTCTTCCCCCATATGTTGCCATGTCTCTTCTGCTTGGCTGTTCCTGAGTTTTATCCTTTATAATGAACCAGTAATGGTAAGTAAAGTGCCTTCCTGAGTTCTGTGATCCATTCTAGCACATTGCAAAACAAGAGGAGGCAGTTGCAGGAACCTCTGATTTATAGCTTGTTAGTCAGAAGTACAGGTGGCCCAGGACTCATGATTGGCAGTCTTGTGGGACTGAGCCCTTAACTAACCTGTGGGGTTTGACACC